TAGGGGTGGGCAAACGGGTCTTGGAACCGCGGTCTGGTCCGGATAATGGCGTTTCGGGTCCAAAACAGGTCAGTTCCATTTTTGTTGCCATAAAATGGTCTGGGTAGGGTCGGGTAATTTTTTTTAAAGAACCAGACCAGTTCCAAAATTAAAAAAAAAATGGGTACCCGACCCGGCCCGTTATATATATTGTATATTAATAGTTTTGTGATAATCGGTTTTGAAATAGTTTTGTTTCCTTTGCAAGAAGTAGGATTTTAAATTGAGTTGGAGTAACATCCTTTTGTTTTCAAATTATTGATTAAATTTTTCATAAATATCTTATTACGTTTTATTGTTATTGAGTTATTCCTTTCTATGGAATTTAATTATTTGTTAAAAATGATTTTGGTATATTTTTTATAATATTGTTCTTAAAATATATAAATTGTGTTTACCACTCACCATGTATGTATCAACTTTGGCTAATACTGAAAATTGAATATATAAAAAGTACTCACTTTAATATGTGATGTTAGACAACATATTTAAATACAAATGTTAGGAAATATGTATTTTGGCTATGTTGCATATTTTTGGAATTTCTTTAATTGTTTGAAACTTATATACATGAAATTATGGAGTATTGGACTTGTCGCTTGTGTTACATGTGCACCACTATGTTGTTATTTTGAAACTTACTAATGTCTTATATTATTGATTATTGATTTTTGGAACTTCGTGAGTTTTTACCAATTTTAAGACATGAGAATAGAAACCGTAAAACCCGGACCGACCCGTTTCAAATGGGCCAGGTAAGGTCCGGTTCCTATTTTGAAGATTGCAATACCCGGACCGGACCGAACCGTACAATGGAACTGACGGTTCCATTTTATTTTGCATTACCCGACCCGGCCCGTGCCCAGCCCTAGTATAATGCACAATCTCTGTGCCCCCAATACAATTATTAAGCGTACTAAATTTTATAAATAATAGTAGGACTAACTGTGACACTACAAAAAAACAACGTTCTAATCACGGATTTTAGTCACGGATTTGGTCCGTGACTAGTTTTGTCACGGACTAGTCACGGATGTTTAAAAAAAATAGTCACGGATCTGACCGTGACTATGACCGTGACTAAGCTTAGTCACGGTCAGATCCGTGACCAAAATCCTCCGATAACTCCGATTCCGTTTCCGGCGGGGTTTGTTTTATACCGGCAATTTAGTCACAGACACGTCCGTGACTAAATCCGTGTCTACTAAAAAAATTTAATTTTCCAGCGCTCAGAAATTAATTCGCAACGGCATTCTGTACGGATAAATTTAGTCACAGACATGTCCGTGACTAATTCCGTGACTAAATCGAATAATATTATTCCCACACGTTATTTACACGTCATTTACACGGTTTGGAAGCGTAATGTACACGAATTTGCTTAGTGACGGACAAATCCGTGACTAAGTCCGTGACTAAATTTTTTATATATGCAGGAGCAACTCATTCAACAGAACCACACCAATTCATTCTCAGTATATAATACAGTAGCTGTTTGAAAGATCGAAGGATGTAGTCTATCTTATGTCATTTTCCTTGTTTATGCAGACAATGTATGTTATTTGAATTATTACTTTTATTTAGAATTAGTTGGTTCAATTTAAATTATTAAAACTATTACATTAGTGAGGTTGTTAATTAATTAACAACATAATTAACTATAAACGTAGTGATGTCATAAAATTAGTTAAATTTTTAGGTTTATAAAATAATTTAATTAAAATTAGTTAGCTAATCGTATTTTTAAACGTAGTGATGTGTTAAGTCAAATTAGTTAGCTAAACGTAACGTAGTTTTAAACGTAGTGATGTGTTAATTAAGTGAAATTAGTTAGCTAAACGTAATGTAGGTTTAAACGTAGTGATGCATTAAGTTAAATTAAGTAAAAGTAGTTAGCTAAACGTACGTTTTAGCTAATTAAGTTAAATTAGTTAAACTTTTGATAATATTAGTTAAATTTAAATATTAATTAATTGAAATGTGTTTAAAAAGGGTTGTTATTTAATTAACGAAATGAATTAGTTACATTTAGTTTGGATTAAAACATTACTTATATTTTGTGCATTATTATTGTGAATTGTGTATTATTTATTAATTCAAATGAGTTTATATATATGCTCAAATTATTGGATTTGGTCATATTATTTAATTTAGTGAATTTTTAATTGTGTATTACTAATAAGATTAAATCTCATTAACGTAATAATTTAGCGTATTTAGTGTTGAAACGGATATTATTGGTTATTTGTTAGTAATTGAAATGATTAATGACATTATATTAATGTATTGGCTAGTTCTAGTTAATTAATTAATATTAATTGAGCATTATTGTAATTAATAATATTCAATTGCATTGAACTTTAATTAGTAATGTTTATTAATAATATTCAATTGCATTGGTACGTAATGTTTATAATTCAGAGTTTTTAATAACCTGTATAATTTTTTTATTATAATATTCAGGCATAATGTATAGACAAAATAGAAGTTGGATGTATGATAAACATGCGATATTGTACGGAATGCAATCAAATTTTCTTGAAGGAGTTGGGGAGTTTATTGCGTTCGCACAAGAACACCCGACTTATATGAGTGGTGATAAAATCAGATGTCCATGTCCAAAGTATAAAAATCTCAAATTTAAAGACCCAAAAGAAGTTGGGTGGGATTTGTACGCGGAAGGATTCGTTCCCAATTATTATAATTGGACTTCTCATGGCGAACCACAAACGGTAGGTTCGTCTCGTAACGTCCCTGCAGAGATGAGTGCGTGGGGAGACCCTGCTGAAATGAGATGGGAGCAACGTATGGTATATGACGCATACGGTGCATCAATGTCTTAGTTCAACCCCCCACAACCATCTGACGATCCTCCTGAAGCCGCGACCTCATATCAACCAGTTGCAGATGAAAATCTGATATTTTATCAACCTTATGTGGATGAAGGTTTAGCTGAGAGATTTCAAGATGTTTTAAAAGTTGTCGATCAACCCCTGTATGCTGATTGTGAGGGATACTCTCAGCCATCCGCCGTTACAGAGTTTATGAACATAAAAGCTGAATACAGTCTCCCTGAAACTTGCATGACTAGAGTCTTGCAATCAGTAGGAGGGATGCTACCGCGTGATCATAACCTTCCCGATTCATATTACCACATGAAATAATTAATGTCTAAGTTGGGGCTACCTTGTATAGAAATTGATGTGTGCCCGGAAGGATGTATGTTGTTCTGGAAGGATGATGAGGCACTTGAATTCTGCAAGTTCTGTGGTGGAGACAGATACAAACTTGTTCCTCAAAGTAAAAGCAAACCACGAAATAGGTCGACATTATCTAAACTGTATTACCTCCCAATAGCTCTACCACTTCAGAGGATGTACGCCTCGACTGCTACTGCGAAACACATGACATGGCATGTCGAGCACGAAACCAAAGAGGGTATGATGTCTCACCCTTCGGACTGTGAAGCTTGGAGACACTTTGATCGTTGTCATCCTCAGTTTGCAATGGAGCCACGAAATGTGCGGCTGGGATTGTGTTCAGACGGATTTGCTCCATTTGGAAGGTTTGGGAAGAACTATTCATGTTGGCCGGTCATGTTAACTCCTTACAATCTCCCTCCCGACATGTTCATGAAAAGTCACTTTATCTTTTTGACTTTAATTTGTCCGGGTCCCAATGATCCAGGAAAAAAGTTAGACATTTATCTTCAACCCCTTATCGAGGAGATGAAAGAACTTTGGGCCATTGGGACACCAACTTATGATGTTTCAAGGGATCAAAATTTTATCATGAAAGCTGTCATCATTTGGATCATTAGCGACTTCCCTGCCTATGGCATGCTTTCGGGGTGGAGCACACACGGTCTTATGGGATGTCCGATATGCATGGAGAAATCAGGTGCCAATTGGCTAACTTTTAGTAAAAAATCAAGTTACTTTGATTGTCACCGCAAGTTTCTCCCGGAAAACCACCGATATTGAAAGGACAAAAAGTCTTTCATTCGAGGTAAGGTGGTACGAGACACCCCACCCCCGAGATTGACCGGGGAAGCAATTTTTAACCGAGTTCGACGTATTCCTACGGAAGTGCAAGAGCCAAATAAGAAGCCATATGGGTTTTGTGATACCCATAAGTGGACAAAGAGGAGTATATTTTGGGAGTTACCATATTGGAAAGACCTTCTCATTCGTCACAATATAGATGTCATGCACACTGAGAAGAACGTGTTTGACAATATATTTAACACAATGATTGATTTCAAAGGCAAAACTAAAGACAGTCTTGCATCTAGAAAAGATATGACTATTTGGTGTGACAGACCCGAACTTTCTGTTGATCTAGAATATACTGGTAACAATATTCCAAAAGCAGTCTACCAAGTCACAGAAGCACAAAAGGAATCAATATTACAATGACTTGTGTCTCTGAAGTTTCTAGATGGCTACTGCTCCAACTTGTCCAGATGTGTGGACATGAACAAACTTACAACGACGTCGAGCATGAAAACTCATGATGCTCATGTAATCATGCAAAGACTTCTCCCAATTGCACTGAAAGAGATGCTTCCTGAACACGTATGGTGTTGCATTACTGAGATCAGTTTGTTGTTTCAGACGATATGTTCCAGCGTTTTGGATGCAGCATCCCTGCGGAGACTAGAAGAGTCTGTTCCTATACTGATGTGTAATTTGGAAAAGATAATGCCACCATCGTTTTTTGATGGAATGGAACATCTTGTAATACATCTTTTGTATGAGGCTTTGACTGCTAGCCCCGTCTTCTATCGCTGGATGTACAGATTTGAAAGGTTAGTCATAATTTCATTTATCTTTGCATATTTATTTCATAACAACATTAATCTGTTTACCACCTTGATTTTACATTTCAGGTTTCTTGGAGAGTTGAAAAAGAAAGTGACCAACAAGGCACACGTTGAGGCTTCAATTTGTCAAGCGTATCTTTAACAAGAAATCTCCACGTTCTCATCTTTTTATTTTGAGCGTGAAGTCATCACTAGAAGAAAGAGACCTGCCCGGAACGATGACATTGGCGAGGATTTATACGAAAATGTAGTTTCCATTTTCAATTACCCAGGTAGAGGTAAAGGAGCTGCGACACACCGATACGTCGTGGGCGGATAATTACAAATTGGGCATACTTACATCCTCATGAATTGTCCAGAAATCTTACCGTTTTATCAGTAAGTTAAATGTATATATATACTTGTAATATATATACAATTATATCAGGTAGTTGATTTATAATATTTTCATGTTTGACTTCACAGTGAATTTATAGCGGAGCTCTCAGCATTCCTTGATAATGAAATTGATGCAATGGTGGACTCTGATTTTGTACCGTGGTTCAAGTATCAGGTATATATATATATATACACATTAATTATATATATTATTAAGTAATAATTTGTAATAATTACCCAATATTATCATGTTATATTTTACAGATCAATAGCCGTGAGATTGTGGACCCTCTGTTAGTAGCATTATCGTGGGGCCCTGGTGTCTACGCCAAAGTTTGGCGGTCATATGTGATAAACGGTTACAACTATCACACAGTCAATTACGGACAGGGCCGATCTACAGTGAACAACGGGTTATGTGTCCCAACCATCGGTTATGATAACTCGGAATCCAATTTTTTTGGTGTCTTGCATGACATTCTCGAATTTGAAATGCCTTCTGCTGGGAAAAATTTGACATGCGTTTTGTTCAGCTGCAAATGGGTCGATCCAACGCGTGGTGTGAGAAAAAATTCAAAATATAATATGATTGACGTCAATCACTCTCGCGTGTATAGGAAAAATGAGCCTTTTATACTCGCTCAACAAGCAACCCAGGTTTATTATGCAGAATACCCTTCAATCAGGCGGACACAGAATCCTTGGGTGTGTGCATGTGCTGTCCGTCCGAGCAAAATTGTATCACAAACTCAACACAAGGACGTTGATTTAGATGCTTTTCAGCAACAATTTTGCTAACCTCCGCCTATTGTTGAGACGGTAAACCATCACATTCAGTTAAGTGATCCAAATGGCGGAAGTGTTGAAGTCATGCCAGAAACGCACCTTCCGGACCTAACACCTCCATCTGAGCGCAAAATTGTTCAAATGCATGAAGAACAACAAAATGCTCAATATCAAGAAGAGGGAGAATGGATAGACGGTTCTGATACAGAAGAAGACGTTATATATATAGAAAATAACGATTCTCACAGCGAGTAATTGTGTTGTAATTTCAATTTTATTGACTTCGAATATTTGGGCTCTTTTCTTCATCATTATATTACTCCAACAATATTTGATTTTTTTTCTTCATCATTATTATTTGTGAAATAAAAATTACTCCATATTAATTCAACAACATGAACTGTTTTTTATATCCATATTATAAATTCAAAATATAATTTTTAATAATTCCAATTAATTAAAATTTCCATAATACGAAATTTAAAATTACTCCATATTATATCCATATAAAAAAAATTCGAAAATTCAAAACAAAATATTAATCTACAATTCAAAAAAAATCGAAAATTACTCCATACTTTGAGTAATTCGAAATTCGAAAATTAATTTTAATAATTCTAAATATACAAAATTAACAAGATTCGAAAATTTAAAAAAAATTAATTTCCTTTTACTAATCTGAATATTATAATAAATTGAGATATTAATAAACAACTAACACAGATTTATTTATCAAATTTAAAAGATAAGTACAAAACACACAATTTATTTATCACAGTAACCTAACTAACATTATTCATTCATCAAACGGAAACTTTCAAGAGGCCTAGCCCACAACTCGTGAATTTTCCTTCGAGCTTCTTCGTTGATCGGGTCCATATACTCCGAACATTCTTCTGCACGTTGAAGCATCCGACACAAGTTTTTTGCTTTTGACTTGCCGATTGAGTCGGATTCCTCATCTTTATAATCGCCAAAACTTTCAAGGGGTCTAGACATCATTCACATCAACTCCTTGATTCTCTCGTATGCTTCAACGGTTTTCGGCTCCATAAGCTGTGTAATTAGCTTAAGTCGTTTCATACTTCTACACATGGAATCCCAGTCAATTGGATCTCTATTAGCCATTTTTTTTCCGCACCACTCTTGGGCCGGAGAAAGATGATTTATACTAAAACTTTGAAGTTGTCACGGTCTTAGTCACGGATGTAGCCGTTACTAAGCCGTCGTTAATGCCGATTTCAGACAGGCGGCAGGCGAGGTGTCAGGGCCGCCCTTGACCGGTTTAGTCACGGTCTAATCAGTGACTAAGACCGTGACTAATTCAAATTTTGAATTTAGTCACGGACCTAGTCACGGATCTGACCGTGACTAGGCCGGTCAATGGCGGCCACTGACACCTCGCCTTCCGTTATCTGAATTCGGCAATTACGACGTAATAGTCACGGATTTATCCGTCACTAAATCCGTGACTATGCTCTTATATAAAAGGAACACTTAGCGATTTTTTTCCAAACCCACGCATCCAAACCCTATTTTTCTCTCAACCCCTTCTACCTTCCTCCCTTCCTCTGCAATCTGCTCCCCGGACCTGAGCCGCCGCCGCCCTGGACCTGAGCCGCCGCCGCCGAGCCGCCGTCCAACACGTCCGCTGCAACCGCCGTCCGCCGACCAACACCGCCAGCAAGGTTATGTTCCCAAACCTTCATTATTTTTTTTTTCGTATTTTTATAATCATTTTTAAATTTTTAAAAATTTATAAATATGTATGTTTTGATGTTATTGTAATTAGTATGCATGCTCTATTTGTTTTAAAATATCCGAATGCATGATGTATATACTCAAATGCATACTTTTATTGTTCAATTAGTTATATTAGTATTAATTATTAATTTACGAAGGTTTTTTCGTAGTATATATGCTCTATTTCTTGAATAATGCATGCTCCATTTATTTAATATTTTAAAATATGTGTTCGAAATTTGATACAATTTGTTAAACATAATATTCCAAATTTTATGTTCAATATGCATGCTTAGATTATGGTTATATGTTTAATATCCATGCTTAAACTTGTGTTTTTTTATTTAAACCCCATGCATGATTATTAAAACCTTTTTTAATTATTTTGGACTTATGTTTTACCCGAATTATTTAGGTTATTTTGGAAATTATTTTTGGACTTATAACGAAGCATGCTCAATAGAATTCCGTGGACTAACTATGATACGGAACACTTAAACATAGTTTAATTACTTTTTCGGCGACCTCGGATGCTCTGCATCCTCCAAAAGACCAGAACTATAATTATAGTTTGACTATTATTAGTTTTGTATTTTAGTTAGGTTTGATTGCACAGCGTTAGTTTAACGTAAACTTTTGAACCCTGCAATCCATTCTCTTTTAGTTTTTGTACAGTTACCTAAAAATGCTAAAATCTAAAATGTTTTTGACTTCCTAGGAGTTAATTATTTAGGAATTGAATAGTACCGAAGAATCGCCCCGAATTGTATCGAAACGTACTGCAAATTGGTACGGGACAAAACAAGTTCTATATAGGTTCGGGACGATACCAGTTCTTTGATTTTTAAAAGAACCATACTTTGGTACGAGATAGGTTTTTTGAAATACCCGTCTAGTACCATCCCATGCTTTCCAAAAAAGAAAATATGACAAAGATATAAGGGACAGAGGAAGTACTATTTTCACCATTTTTAAAAGGGAAAGTTTTCAATATATAGGTAAATATATTTTGGAATTCCAAAATGTGATTATTATGCTCTTCTTTTCGAAATAAGAGTATTTATTACATTCTTGTGGTCATTACTGCCAAATAGTTGCAATACTAGACATTAGACATGACAAGTTTTGCTATGATTAATGACACTATTTTTCAATCATGGTCGTAATGACTCCTATTTCGGGAATAAAAATATAGGGAAAATTCCTGAAATAGGATTGTCAAAAATTGGAAAAATAGTGTCATGTTTAAAGTCTTGAATTGTACTGTCAATGACAGTAATTAGTCCTATTTTGAAAATAAAAACATGATAATACTATTTTGAAATATACAAACGTTTTTAGTCCTATTTGAGTAATTTCCTAAAAATATAGCAATTCTATTTTAATATTCCAAAACTATTTACTCGCATTTAAGGTTCTGTCTTTTGTCCGCAGAAATAATTAATCCGGCCCTAAATCAATCCAGCAGGATAATTGCCAGCATAACAAACAGCTTGAAAGTACGTAGATCGGTAATAACGTGTGAGTTGATTGTACCTCTGCTTAATTACTTGAATTCTTATACTGCAAGTTCATATGTTTATACAATAGGGTTTGACGTTTGAATACATTCATGTTTTCATACGTACTGCAATTGTGATGTTTAATTATTATAGCCAATTAAATGCATATATGGATCCAACAAGGGAGGGGGATATGTATACGTAGTATATACAAGGTAGATGAAGAGAGATTACATGTTCCATATTATACTGCGGTTTGAGTTGGATCACCATGCATATCAATATATATCTAGGAGAAATTCTTGATGTACAGAGGCAATTCTCAAAATTTATGCATTCTTAGATGAATTCAAACCTATTGTACCAAATTCCGTGTCAAGCCATTTATTTTGTCACCATCTATTGTGTAACGTAGAAAGTACTACATTCGTCCCATTATGTTTGGGACAATTCGGTTTACGATGCTTGACCGATGTAAGTACATTCGTCCCATTAGAAAGTACTACATTCGTCCCATTTGCCTCACAACACTAGAAAAATTATTCGTGGTATCATTAATTTAGGAAACTTACATTACAATTAGGAATGACAACAAAATTACTTTCCCGGTCTGATAATAACGTGCCTTGCTTAACGAATGCATAGGAGACCCAATTCAAAGTCAAATAAGTCTTTATATAGGAGACTCTGTCTGGCCATCGCCATTCGGGGTGGTTTCCGGTGGAATGTTTTGATTTTTTGAGGATATTATTCATTAAGTCTAGTGTGTTCATACCAAATTTCAGCTAAAACTTCAATCGGGAAGACATTCAAATAATTTCTGGAAGATAACTGCGCAGTATGCGTATACATTTATCTTCAAGAATTAATTTGAATGCCTTCCCGATTGAAGTTTTAGCTTAAATTTGGTATGAATAAACTAGACTTAATGAATAATATGCTAAAAAAAATTCCTCAAAAAATTCCACCGGGAACCGCCCCAAATGGAGACGGCCAGACAAAACCTCTTATATAAGGACTTATTTGACCTTTTATGTAAGTTCGAGGATCTATCTGACCTTTTTCCCTATTCTATTCATAAAGTAGTACTACGTATAATTTTTTTATATTCATCGGATTCTGCCAAAACAATCTTTTCAATTAGAATTTCATAAATTTTGAAGACCAGTCAAATAGGTAACATAAATTTTCTCATTGTCAAAGACGAGTCAAATAAGTAACATATGGAGGCATTTTTATGCACTCATACTTCTATTATAGTATCTACTCTATACATTGATCGAGGCATTAGTGCATTACAAACAAAGCAGGGAAAAAAAACAAAAGCCGTTAAAAAAGAAATAGAGCAAACATTAAAAAACTCTTGCCTAAAACAAATATTCAGCCATTAAAATTTAAAAAGCCAAGGGGACTATGAATGCCCAATTGCCAAATGTGAACTCGAAGTTGGTTCGTGAGGGAAAATGACTTTTCCGCCTCTATCCTTGAAAATGAGCATTCACTCTTCAGATTCTGCTTGCCCTTGAGATATAGGATTTGGATTGTATCTTCGTTGCAGGATTTGAAAAGACATTATAACATCTTTTTTCTTGTTTCAATTTTTGTTTTATATAGTAAAACTACCTGCTATGGAGGTGAAAGACAGAATCAGTGGACTTCCTCTGGACATACTTGCCCACATTTTGGGATTATTGCGGATTGAAGAAGCTGCTAAATCTGCCATTTTGTGTACGAGTTTGAGAGATGCTTGGTTAAGTCTTACACACCTCAACTTTGATAGTCATTTCTTCAAATACATTCTGGACCGTTATATAGCAGAGTCAAGTCAGTTACTAAAGTCTGTAATCAACACAATCATCATTAAACGCAACGGGCCTATTCGAAAATTTGTGTTTGATATTAACTTCCCAAGACGACGTAAAGATAAGTCTAGGTGGTTGGCCTTTGATGAATGGTTATATTGTCTAACCCAGAATGGTGTTGAAGAAATGCACCTCTCTTTTGGCCTACATACGGCATACATTTTGCCAGATTGCATATTTTCTTGCCCGACATTAAAGACGTTGCATCTTTCGGGAGTCTGTTTTGAACAAGTTAGCACCCCTTGCATATTCCCAAATGTTACTTCACTTTTCTTAGAAAACATCCGGTTTGATCACAGAAAATGTTCTGCTGCTGAACTTCCTATGCTCAGGAATCTAACTTGTGAAAGCATTTCTGGTTTTAACTTTACTGCCCCAAAGCTTAGAAGTTTGAGATTTCGTGCTCCTAAGTATGACATTGCTGGAAGAAACCCGTTTCTCATTCTTCCAGTTAAGTTAGACTTGAGAACTGTACACTCTCTTCATCTTGAAACAATTGACCTTGAGGTATATAATACAGGCTTTTGTTTTGTTATTATTACTTGTAGATTACTACGTAGATGATTTATTTTTGATAAAATGACAGTTTTCAACTTCCGTTTATTTTTATTTCAAGAGGTTTGTTAGAGAGTTATTTTGGGTGGGACAAGAACAAACCACACTCAATGTGGAACACCTGCAGCTACGCTTGTATGACGAGTATTCGGATAACATATCGATGTGCTTTCACTTGTTGCAGATGTGCCCAATGTTGATCAAACTTGACATACATTTAACAGTAATATTCTCTTTGTGAAGAACTATCTCTCAAGTTTTTAGTTTGTATTTTTCAATTCATTCTTGATCTTTGAATGTTAAATTGAAAATTTTGTTTGTTTTGTTTTGATGCATTTTCCCTTAGTTCGGGGCAGGGTTTGCAAGTGCAGAAGAACTATTGGAGCTCCCGGAGCATACTTTGGCCCAAACATTCGATACGATTCGGGATTTAAGTATTGTTTGCTGGTTTCAAGGGACAATTCCTGAAATGATATTCTTCAAATGGCTACTTCGCCGCTTTCCAGCACTTGAGAAGGTTTTATTTTTTCCAAATTATATGTATTCGGGACACAACCTATCTCAAGATATGGAGACACTTTTGTGCTTTCTGCGTGCAGATAGAGAAGTAGAAGTTTCTTATTGCATTTTCAATGAAGCCAAAGACTCACTATTTTTTGGGTTTGGAATTATGATGGAATAAAGCAAAATGACTTACTAAAATGTCTGCGCTTCTTTGTTATAAAGCAGCAGTCAGTCCGTGCAATTTTCGACGCGATTATCAGTATGGGTCATCCGGAAACGGTCTCTTTGTGCTTAAGTACAGAGGTAAGACTACGTACATCCAACCCCCCTACCCCACTGTAGGGGGAGCCTTTGCGGCACTAGGGTAATGATGATGATGATTAAGTAATGTGTAAGTTGAATATATTAGCATACATTCTCGTTATTTTAAAGTTCATATCTCTAGCTTTAACTTTGGAGTTGGTTGAGTTATAATTTATAAATGAATATCTACGAATATGTAAATGATTGTTGAACTCCTATGTTCCAACAATCAATTCATTATCACTTTAGGGAAAATAATTTTATCTTAAATAATGGAATTGCTATGAGAATGATCTGATAAATAAAAAAAGACTTTGAGGCCGTTTGGAACCACTGTTTTTCGGCTTATCAGGCTTATCAGCCAACTTTTTCACCAAATACGTAACTTTTGTATTCGCGCGCTGAATTGTGTAATAAGCAGAAAAAGTAAGGTTAGAGTTACTTCTATGGCTGATTTGGCTGAAGTTACTGTAGATGACTATTTTAGCTATTTATACATATAATTTTTCTTGATTTTATTAATAAAATATATTTTAGAAATATTTTTTTTCTTAAATCAGCAGAATCAACCAATGCACCCATTTCACCCAGAACTTCATAAATTTCAGCAGAATCAACCAAATCAGTCGATTTTCGTTCTACCAAACGGGCTCTTTATTTTGCTCTTCGGGGCACAAAAGGCTTCACATTTAAAGTTAAAATTTTCTTTTGGCACAAATAAAAATAAAAATTGTATGTGAATTCCTATTTTGAAAATGATTAAGATTATTGTCAAAATTAGGATGTTTAATTTTCTTTTGGACTGGAATTTATTGGTCTGGTTTGGTTTGGTAAACATCTGGTCTCAGTGTATTTTATAACTACAGAAGTCTGATCTGGTCTGCTCTGGTCTAATCTGGTATGGTTTGATCTGGTCTGAGATTGAAAACAGTCCAAAAGAAAACATCCTAGAATTTAAGTGAGAATTGTGGTGAGTGTGAACGAAGCTATATTTTGAAATGAGACGAAAGCAACAAGCTAGCCTGTTTCAACCCATTTAGTGGTGTTCATTTTTACCCGATTAATTCATGGTTGTGGTTAATTTGGCCCACACAGGACGCGGGTGGCAATTACATACTTATTATTTACAACATTTGCTAAATTATTATATCTCTCATAACTCAAATAAATTATTCAAGTGGATCTTTATTATTATAGTTAGTGATTATCTTTTAAGGTTTACAAAAATCTACTCAAAAGGTATGTATATCCTTGTTTTTCTACATTGAGTGCATTTGTTGGGTATCATCTTACAGTATGAAATGTTTATATAATTATGATTTAAAAATATTTTTCAATTTATTTAATCAAGTATGGTGTTCTAGTGTTTTTGTTCCTTATATTTCTTTTTATTTATTACTCCGTACTACCTACCCATATGAACAAAAACTTTAGGTTAATTATTTTTAAGGTATTTTGTCATTGTATGTTTTTTAAACTTGTTCATCGGCTATCCAACGAAACTCACATATTGGATGGATTGAGACAGGGTTGTAGAAAAATTTTGTCCGCCATTAGACACTTGTGCCAATCCGGCCCATGAAAAGCACAACCCACCACATATTGGGTTTGTACGGGGCTGGGCCTGTTGATCGGTGATATTTTAATTTAGTGTGAAATTATGTCAAATACTAATATTATATTAAAATGTTGTATGTTAAAAGTATTTCCAAAAAAACTTTAGAAGTTTTAGGTTTCACGTAAATATAATTACTTAAATGATTATCCAAAGTTTATTATCATTTAATTCCCAAGAAAAGTTATATTGAACAAGTTTTATGGGACATGGAAGTGTTTGTTATTGACTCTATCCGCCCCATAAAACTTGGACAATTCCAATTTGACTTTTCTTTATAATAAACTCTGGACAATGAATTTCGTTATTATATTTGTGTAAAATAATAACTTCTACTACATATATTTAATTTTATGAAAGTGTGTTTAACAAAGAACATTTACATAAAATTTTCATATTTGAAATAATTTTGTAATTAAAAATATCATTGGTCAATTTATACTGCGCAATATCATTGATCATGAAAAGTCAAAATGACAATGTTTTGTGGCACGAGGAACAATTTTTTACCTTTGAGTATTTGCAATTTTTGAACTACTACTAAGTATAACTAAATGTCTACCTAACTTTAATTTATATGAAACATTGCAAACATGATAAAATAGATGTGCTTTTGAAATCAACTAAAGAAATATATGCATGTGTGTGTAGGGATGGCAATGGGGCGGGGGTTCACTCCCCCATCCCCACCCGGTGTCTAAAAAATCGCCCCCGCCCCCGCCCCATCCCCAACTACTATTCGACCCGCCCCATCCCCCACTACTATTCGACCCACCCCATCCCCGCCCCGTGTCTGAAAAATCGCCCCACCCCCATGTAAATTTCACTTTTTGCAGATAATAGTCCAGTCAACGCTATGTCACCCGGTCAATTGCCAATTGTGCATCCGTTGTGCATTTAAGGAGTCAGTATATAAGCCCTGAACCCAACTGAGATGTTCAATTTTCTCCTACCGTTAAAAAGTGTCAAAATTGTTAAAAAAAATTAAAAATAAAAAAAATATAAAATAAAATATAGACATCTATTTAATACGGAGTAATATAATAAGGAAATATTTACATTTTGCAGTAAATTAAAATATAGAATAAAATATAAACAAAATGGGAAATTGAATAATACGAAGCATATAAATATGCATGTGTGTAACAGACTAACAGTACATATAATATAAAAGACATTAAATAAATTTAAAAAAAAAATAGGAAATGAAGAATACAAGTCTAAAATATTAACATATTATAAATTATAAATAAAACACCTAAAATATGTTTTATAATAGAAAATATTACATATAATACATAAAATTCAGATTTAAATTTAATTAGTAAAGACATATATTGTATATTTTAAATAAAATAGATATAAAATATGGAAGTAAAGTTAAAGAGTTTATTTTAGTTTACTTTCTTTTTTTAATTTATCGCAAAAAATAAGTATTTTCTTACTAAATTATTTAATAGGTGTCTATACTTTATATTCTCGACTTGTATTTTATTTTATATTTGTATTTTCTATTTTTTCAATTTCTTATTTCTTATTTTTCATACTTTTGACATTTTTAATAGTTGAGGGAGTAAATTGAACAACCCAGTTGGGTTCAAGGGCCTATTTGACCTCTTCAATTGTCACGTGGAATGCACGGTTGTCATCTGTCTGGATAAGGTGGCGGTAACTAGATTATTACCCGCAAAAAGTGAAATTTATACTTTTTTCGAATTCAGAGTGTGAATTGGATTTTTTTGAATTTAGGGGTTAATTGAGCAATCCGGATGAGTACAAGGGTCTATTTGATGAAGACAGTGTTTTTATGTTTTTTTTGCCTAATTCGCTTTGATTTTTAATCCGTTTCAAGCACTGTTCTAAAAATCGCTTTAGGCGCCCGACTAGTCCCCGCCTAGGCGCTAGGCGGTGGTCGGGCGCCCCGATTTTAGTCTAGGCGTTCCGACTAATTGATTCGTCGCCTAGGTGAATTAGTCGGTCTCCTAGGGAGCTTAGTTGCCCGGCCAGAGTGCTTAATGGGCCGCTTAGGCGTCTAGATTTATCAAACAATTTTGCTTTTCTTTTTTGTTTTAGTATTTTAAGAGATATATGTACATTTATCTGTGACAATACATATGAAGAAAGCTGCTAGTGAGTGCCTGATTAGGTATAATATATTATTAAATGTGATAATTTTATCATTCATGCATGTTAATGTGTATGTGTGTATATATATTTTTTACACACACAAACACAAACATTACTAATCATATTTATGCAAAAATATTGATAAAACAACAATTTCTATCTCTCCGACTAGTCCCCGCCTAGGCGCCCGCCTAGCCGACTAGGCGCTAGGCGCTGGGCTGGCGCCCGACTAGCGCCTAGCGCCTTTTAGAACATTGGTTTCAAGTTTCAAGCGAGTTTGGAGCGATGAGAATTCTCTCTCTAGGGCTTTGTAGCTCTTAGAGCCCTTTTTCCGTCTTCGTCTCTTCGAAGGACGGATGCCTGGTTTCTTCTCGGCGATTTTTATCCACGGAAGTCCGCTTCCACTCTACGATGGAGTCAAGCGAGTTTCCTGCTATTACTTCGGTGTTTTTGCTGGCCATGAGGTCGGGCGAAAGCAGGGAAGCAATTTTCAATGGAAGAGGTAGTTCATCAGTATAAACAAATGGCTATTGGGGCTGATAAGGAGGAGGTATTTTTTTATGAGGAAGAGGAGGATGAGGAATCCAGCAAGAGCTCGACAAATTTCCTAGTGGTAGGCCTGATTCTGACAGATCGCAAGATTAAATTTCAGTTCTTCAAAGAGTTGATGGTCTCGCTGTGGAGACCGGTTAAAGGTGTTTCAATCCAGAAAATCGGCAACAAAACGTATACTTTTACCTTTTATCACGTATTAGATATGTGGCGTGTCCTCGATGAAGGACCATGATTATTTGAACGGAATTTATTGCTGCTAAAAGAGATTCAGGTAGAGGATATTCCTTTTTAAATCAAACTTATGAGGCTGATTTTTGGGTGCAAGTGCACAATGCTGCTTATGGCTTTATGAATTTGGGGTTTGCTAGACGTATTGGTAATTACATTGGAAAATTCATTAGCTTTGATGATAAAAAACCTAATGAGAATTTTAAGCCATATTTGAGGATTAGAGTTCGTATGGATGTTAGGAGACCCCTTGACGGGCACTTTGTCACGGTGCGTCAAAATAGAGTTCGTATCCACAAGGAAAGAAATAACTCTCTTTTTATGAAACTAGTAAATAAAGGGGGGGTTTTGATTGAGTGATTTAAACACGAAGATGAACTACTTATATGTGATTTAATTCAAAGATAAAAGGAACTTGGCATTGCTACTTTCCACTTGTTGATA